GAACTGCACACAAAACCCCACAGTGGGATAGAACAGGCCCCTTCACAAGCCTCTTAGAGAATTTATATGTGAATTGGTGAATTCTACAGGTTCTGTAGCTAATGTAGTGTAGGAATGGAATATAAACATGAAGTCATATTGGGGAACCACTTCACCAAGCAGGGGGTGCCTGGGACCCTGTAGCATTCTCACTTGGGAAGAAAGACAGATGAGGTGTGAGCCAGTGCATGGATGCCCAACATCCACTTTGCCCCAGGGGTTGCCATGCAGGCTTCTCCCAGGAGGCCCCTGTCCCTGCCTACCAGCAACTGGGTGACCCAGCTTCCACACTTCAGCCACAGCAGAGGCAGCTGGCGTTCTGGGGATGGCAAGACCTGGTGTTTTGGCTGTTTTCCTAGCCAGTGAGGACAAAGGTGATATCGAAGTGGCAGTGCCCTGGATGGCATGGCTGAGTCTGCCACTCCTGCAGACTTCTATAGGGGGCATTCTGTAGCTTCTTTGCTGCTGGGGGCAGCTTAAGGGACCCAGAGGCATTTCAAGAAGGGAGTGCTGGACCAAATTACCCTCCCACCCCAGGCCCATACGAGAGGCCAGGTACAGCTGAACTTAGAGGTGTAGACCCTCTACCAAGTGGGTCCAGGTAGCACTGCCTGCCACATTCAGATGTGTCCTCTAAAGTTCATTCTTGCTCTCCCTGCTACATTGAGCATCCATGCAAATGAAGTGACAAGTAAGTGTTGGGCTACATCCTTCCCTGGGTCTTAGTCACTTAGGCTGAGCCTGAACCTTCATCTTGTTTTCATGTAGACATGTTGAATGAGCCTGGATCCCCATGTCTCCAGATTTCAGGCCCTTTGTCTTTCAGTTCTGGGCAGCACTGGCCCCAATGGTGATGGAACATCTCAGATTGGAGCTTGACAACAGAAAATCCTGCCTAAACACCACCCCCAGGTCTTCTTTTGCCTGACACAGCTCCCTGTCAGGATGTGTATGTGGGGGTGGCTCAAGAAACAGCAAGAATGACACTCCCCAAAGGCCACTAGCCACCACTTTCTGTTCAATCAGCATTCCCCTGACATATTGCTTACCAAGGCCACTCCTGGCCAGAACTCTGCCAGAGCATCTGATGGGGCCACCACACCTGCTGTTTGCCAACAGTGGAGTTGGATGGAGCTGCTGTTTTCAGAGGTCCCACGACAAGGTCACCAACTCCCCTTGCTTAGGATGCTCTGTGCATGGGTCTAATGAGACTGGAAAAGTCTGGGTCCTTCCCCACAAATCCTAGGACTTGCTTGTTGGGAGGGAGGATTGCGAAACACTGCTGCCCCCATCCATTCGGAAGGCCCTGCCAAGAAAGATGACCTTGAGATAGGAGCAGGATGCCTTCTGGGGAGCTGGATTCTGTTGGACGTTTGTGTACAGGGGAGGTTACGGAAGAGTTCCTGTATTTAAGGAAGCCTGTACTGGCATCTGATCAGGAGTCTGGGGCAGAGCAGGGAGTCCTGACCCTTCACTACAGAATATACTGGCATCCCTTCTACTGAAGCTGGGGACAATCTCCTTTCTTAATGTCTCTTCCAGACCATGTGGGATGAGTTCTGACACCCAAGATGAATGATCAGGAAAGGTCCCCATCTCTTTCTGTATTTTGAATCCTCACAAAGATTTTTCACAGGTTGGGTTTGAAGGACCCGAGCTGACCTTGAATTACCCTCATTCCTCCACCCACATACCAGACTGGTCTAGATCACCATACTACTCCACTGCCTTTGGGGACCAGGCTGCTAACAATCACCATCGAGGAGCAGGTGGAGGACAATAGGGAAGGGTGAGGACTTGGCCAAGTGGGAGAGGGGAAGGCAGAAGTCGAATCAGTCAAGTTCAGATGAAAACAATCACCCACAGCCATGTGTGAGCTGAGTTGGCCCTGCTCATTTTTGTGGTTTTGGTTTTGGGATTGAGACTGAGTGAATAAACGGACTCAAAGCAACAAACACTGGAGATTTTTGTGTCCTGTATTTTATTAACTAATTTATTGACAGGGTCTGTAGCCCAGGCTGATCTTGAACTTGGTATTTGGCTGAGGATGATCTTGAACTTCTGATCTTCCTGCCTCCGAGTGCTGGAACCACAAGCACTTTTGCAGTACTGAGGATCGAACCTAGGGCTCTGTGCATGCTAGGCAAGCACTTTACCAACTGAGCCACATCCACAGCCATATAAATTAGCAGAGGACAATAGATCACAAAGCTGGGATGTGTCTGTACCACTCAGCCTCCCCCTAGAGTTAAAAATTTGAAGTTTGTGTGCCTGGTTCTTCCACAGCATCTTTCAGGGTATCACTGGTGGACTGTGGCTGGGCTAGGCTGGTGAAGGGCAGTGATCTGCTTCCACTGACCCTGGTGTGGGAGCAGTTTCTGAGTCCTGTCTGCATGGAGCGATAGGGGAAGAAAGATCCACCAGGAGTGTCAGAGACAAATTTTCTTATCAAACAAATATCCTAGAGCAAGCATTCCAAAATGTGCCCAATGATTCAAGTCTGTGGACCCATCAGTAGCCATCGTCTAAGTGAAGGGAGGGAATTATTCCCTCTGTCCCTTCATCTGTCTCATTACATGGAAGGAAAGGTATTTGTGAGGGATCAACACTTGCTCATGGAGTGGTTTCCCACTTAGGTGGGCAGTAGTAACTGGTAACTTTCTTCACTTTATGTCGTATTTAGCTGGAGGGCAGTGATCTTTGATTTATGACGAGATGGTGAGATGTTGGCTTTTCCTTCCCATGGTAGTCATTTTAAGGTATCCTTTAAAATTTTAAGTAAACTACTAAGTGTTATACAAGGAAATAATGAGTGAGGGAGGGGGTGGAGATGGGACCCTGAGGTAAACGAAGCTCCTGGATGGGGTTCCTTCACCTTTTCATAATCACAGGAAGATGCATGCCCAGGGTTCTGGACGGCAGTTAGCAGAGTCCAACCCTGGACTACTTGGTTCCCTCAGCCTTCAGTTTTCAGCCCACATTGCTTCTTAAGCAAAGTCCTCCCAGAAGCTCTGTTCTAGAATCATCTTCTACATTGGGCTTCCAACTCCAACTTTGGGACTACCTGTGTCATCAGAGATCATGGAGTCATGCCCACAGGGTGCATGTGTGGGGAGGGACCTTCAGCAAACTGCCAGGTGAGTATCCCATTTGATAATGGTGGCTAAGCAAGAATGTGGCCCAGTGTGGCCACACTTCCCAATTTCTCCAGAAGTTAGAAACAAAAAAAAAATATTTTTTTTTTGGTTTTTTTGAGACAGGGTCTCCCTGTAGCCCCAACTGTCCTGGAACTCACTATGTAGACCAGGCTGCCCTTGAACTCACAGAGATCCACCTGCCTCTGCCTCCCAAGTGCTGGGATTAAAGGCATGCGCCACCACGCCCGGTTTAGAAACAAAAATTTTTAACGTGAAAATTTACCATTTTATTTTTCTTTCTTTCTTTTAAGGTTTTGTTGTTGTTTAAGGAGGGGATCACATTCTGTAGCCCAAACTGGTCTGGAACTCACTGTGTAGCTCAGGCTGGCCTCAAAGTCACAGCAATCCTCCTGTCTCAGCCTCCAGAATGCTGGGAGTACACACTTGAGCTGCTATGCCCAATAATCTCATCCTTTTTCAATATTGACAAGTGTCCACTACGTCTGAGGGCCAGATCCAGCCTCAGTTGTCCTCAGGAGATAGAGAATCTTCTGGTTGAATATGGTTGTCAGGCTGCAGTGCCCTCACACCCATGTCCCAGAAATGACAGACAGGGATCTGAAGTCACAGCTAGAGTCAGTGGTACAAGTCCTGTGTTTCCCCTACAAACTGGACCCTCCTGGCCACAGGGAAGGGCCTGAGTCATGTCTGGGTCCTCTGCCCAAGGCCCTGGTTACACAGGCCTGGAGCAGGGTGAACGGAAGATCAAAGGGACAGCTGTCAGCTTTTGGAGAATGAAACAGAAACCCGGGATCACTAGGCATAGATGTTCCTACAGACATGAGGCTGAGGGGGATGTCCAGGGGGCCCTGGGGAGGAGCCACTGTCCCCAAGGCTAGCAGGCCTGGTAGGACAATGGCTCCAGCAAATGGAAGGGTCAGGACCCAGCTGAAGAGGAGGTTCTAGTAGGCAATAGGCACTTCAGCCTAGGAGCCGGCTCACAACAAACTTGCCAAGGATGAATGTCAGCCCTTGTTCTGGAAAGGTGGCAGTGGAAAGGGGCCATTTCAGGTGGGGACTAAGGAGGACCATGGCAGGGAGGCCCATTGATGTAGGTAAAGGCAGGAGCTAGATTGTGCTCTAAAAGAGGGCCCAAATCTGGCAGGAACAGGCTACACTGGAGGTTGCAGTGGAGGGGCAGAGGGGCTGATGGAGGTTGGACAGGGATAGAGAGGATTCAGGGACCAAAGGAACCTTGTCTTTCAGTGAGGGCCAAAGTTGATCGTTGAGGTAGTAGCCTCAGGAATGCTCCCTCCTGTAACAGTACTCCCCAGCCTCTGGGGCCTCCATCTAGACATGGGGCCAGGCTCAGTCGGTCCCCCAGTTGTCAGCAACCCTTCCGAGGCCCCCTTTCCATTTCGTGTCTTATCTATCTACCAGGCACAGAAAGAGGGTGAGGTGGTCTCTCCAGTCTCCAAGCTGAGGGGTGGGACCCGGGCACTCCAAGAGGGCTCTCTGGGTGTGGATGCTCTGGCTGGTGCCACTCCTCCGAGGTGACACGGGGCACGCAGAGGGTGACCGACCAGCCACCGGCCCCCCCCTGGCCATCCCGCAGCGCTTCTCGGCCACCGCCTCGGGGTGTCTCTGCTTCGCTGCGAACCGGGTAGCGGGGAGGGGAGCGGGCGGCGGCGGCGCGGCCGCGCCAAGAAGCGCCGGGTCACCGCAGGCTGAGGCGCCCGCCGTCCCCGCCCTCCCCCTCGCTCGCCTTCTCTGCTCCCGCCTCCCTCGCTCGCTCGCTCGCTCCTTCGCTCTCCCCGCCTTCCCTCGGCTCCCCGCCCTCTCCTCCGCGCCTCTCCTCCTCCGCCCCGCGCCCTGCGGTGCTGCAGCTGCGGGCGGCTCCAGCTGCCCCCAGATGTGGGCTGGGCGGCGCGCGGGGAACTTTCGCGCCGGCTGCGAGTGCCCGGCCCCGGCTGCGGTCCGGCTGCTATGGATCCGCCTGCGGGAGCCGCTCGCCGCCTGCTCTGCCCAGCACTGCTGCTGCTCCTGCTGCCGCCGCCGCCCGCGATCGCCCGGCTCGCCGCCGCCACCGACCCCCCAGGTAGGTCGCCAGGCGCGTCCCCACGCCCCGCGACCCTCCAGACAGCCAGTCCTGCCCCGCGTGGCCCGCGCCCCCTCCCCAAGCATCGTCCAACCCGACTTGGGCAAACTCCGCGCGCCCCGCCCGGGGCCAAGTTGGCCAACTTCGGGGCTGGGTCGGTCGCACAGGGGGCGCACCCCGGGTGCCTCCCGGCCGAGGGAGCCTCGCAGTGCTGGCGGCTCCCGCGATGCGGAGCGTAGGGATGGAGAGCCCGGCAAGCCCCGCGGCGGAAGGTGCAGAGCTATCTCCAGCGAGTCCGGGAGAGCCGGGGCGAGGCGGCTCCCGGGGACGCTCCGGAGCAGCTAGTGCGGAGCGCGCCGCCTGGGGGCCTGAGGATTGGTCCGGGTGCCCCGGCGGGGATCCCCGGAGATAGGTGGGACCCTGCTCCACCCCTCCGGGTCCATAGGCGCACGGGAAGAGAGGGCTGGCAGCGGGCTGACCGCGAGCTGGACACAGAGGGCAGGCCGCTGGTGCGCGGGGGAGCCGAATGCTTGCTGCTCCGGAGGACAGCGGTGGGGACACTGGGGCAGCGGGGACCTCCGAGGGTCGAGGTGCATGGGTGCGGGACCAACATAGAGCGGCTTCGGACGACCCGGTGTCCTAACGAGGACGGAGGACTCAAGGGGCGAGGACACCGTGAAGGGGTCGCCCCCTGGGGAATTGTCAGGTGCCCGCGGAGCCCGGACCTGGAACCCGGCTAGGACAGATCTTTAGCTGGCATGGGACCCGGATGGGACCTGCCTGTAGGCAGCATGGCTCCGGAGTGGTGGTCCTGTCTACGCCCCTTTCCATTTGCGGGAAAGAGGTGCAGGCTAGCTCCCGGGGGCTTCCTGGTGGATTGTCCCTTCCCTTCAACCAGGGCAAGGGCTGGGGGACGCTGGGCTCCAGGGTCCCAGGCTCCGAGGTCCCGGCCAGTCTAACGCCCCTTTCCGTTGCAGGCGGGCCCCTGGGGCACGGAGCCGAGCGCATCCTGGCGGTGCCGGTGCGCACTGACGCCCAGGGCCGCTTGGTGTCCCACGTGGTGTCGTCGGAGCCGGCCTCAGCTGGGGTACGAGCCCGCAGAGCGGCCCCAGACCAGACCTCGGGCTTCCCTGGAGGCGGCGAGGACCCCCGAGACCCGCTCTTCTACAATGTCACGGTCTTCGGCCGAGACCTGCACCTGCGGCTGCGGCCCAATGTCCGCCTCGTGGCTCCCGGGGCCACCATGGAATGGCAGGGTGAGACGGGTGACACCTGGGTGGAGCCCCTGCTTGGAACCTGTCTCTACGTCGGGGATGTGGCTGGTTTAGCTAAAGCCTCCTCGGTGGCGCTCAGTAACTGCGACGGACTGGTGAGTACCCTCTCCTCTGCTCCTTTCTGTTCTGGCTCTAGCCAGAAACTGGCTCCTTGGGAGTCCCTGGGGAGGAGGACATAGCTTGCGCTCAGAACCGAGGACTGGCCCCGCTGCAGGGGTTGGCGGGAAGACAAGATGTTTTGGTTGGTCAGAAAAGGGGGCGATTTGCTCGAACCTTACCTCCAAACCCTTACCAAATAGTAGAGTGTGCGACTCTCTTATGTCTGTCTGCACGTGATTAGGAGCAGACAGGCATAGGTTGCTCTGCATGTGCCCTTCAGTAGGTGTAGGTGCATTCGCACGAGTGTTTTGGAAAGTGTGCATGCTTCATTCTGTGTGCCTGTGTACTTGTGTAAACACATGAGTGTGCTGTTGACTCTCAGGTACTGGTAATTATCTGTGGGCATCATACGGTTTGTCTGAGCATGTGTGTGTACTATGCGGGGCGGTTATCCTCCTGTGTACTGCAGGTGATGACAGCCCAGGGAGCACACACTGATGCCCACATGCTCAGTAAGCCCTCTGTCCCTTGGCTGACTGGGAACCACTGATTTTTTTTTTTTACTGTGGTTTCCTGTTGAACTCCAGTTGGCTATTTGTAAAGGCAGCTTTCTCCCTCTGATCGGGCTAAGGGGAGCTTTTGACACAAGTTCCGTGTGCCTGTAGGCTGTTCGAATATGAGGGGCAGTTCCTGATGGACAGGAAGTGGTCCCCTTGGGGCCGCCTGGGCCACCTTGCCACTGGTGTCCCTCCATGGGGCTTCCTGGAGAAAGCACAGAGTATAGGCTGACATTGACAGTACTGGTACTGTCCCACTCCCTGGGGGCCCTGGCACACCGTAGAAGCCACTGCAATTTTCTATTTTGGATTGGGTGTGCAGCGGTCAGGCCGGCTATGCTGGCCAGACATCTGAAGCTGCCCACTAGGAGTTCTGCCCTAATTGCTGTATGGGCACTCCTGCTCTGGGGAAGTGGCCACACTCCCAGCCCTACTGGCCCTGCGTGATGCCCGTCCTCAGGGAGCCCAGGTTGGTTCTGTTGCCTGCAGAGCCAGCACTTACATCTGAGCCCCATAACCACTGGCGTTCTTTTTATGGACACACAAGAAACATCACTTGTTGCTTTGGAAAATCTCTGTCTTTGGTTGGATTTAGTTAGAGCCCGGACACACTGGGAATGACTCTTCAATGTCTGTAGAGGAGTTGGTTTGACATAGGGCAACTCTTTATATTCTCTGTTGTCTGACTGGTCCTAAGCCTCACAGACAAGTCACATTTAGGGATGCAGGTGAGTTTCTTAAGCATTAAAGAAAACCATTACTGAGGACTTAGGACAAGGTGAGATGGTGGTGGAGGATCGATGTGGATGCATTCTGTCTGCTGGTGGGTCAACTCCTGTATGCTAATTAATTCCCAACAGACAGCACTGGGAGAGGGGGTGTGGCACTACATCATTCATTCATGTCCTCATTTGGCAATTCATTTGTTCAGGCAGCACCTTTGAATATGTTTATCCTTTGTACTAGTCAGAGATGGGGCAGGTCCTGTGAGAGGCTGAGGGGCACTCAGGTGCTTTTGATGATGTCTCAGGGAGCCAATTGGTAGAAAGAGTATTAAGTGTGGAGGTGCCAGGTGTGAACAGACCTGGGCGGGACGGGCATGCTGAGATGTCATAGGACTGGGCCATCCACAGGTTGGGTACAGAACTGTACTGGAAAGACCCCTGCAGCCTGCCTGGGTGCCTGGGATGTGGCCAGTGAATCAGCCTGACACCGTGGGCCTGAACGTTTGTTCTCCTTTTCCTTCCTCCTTTTTTCCTTTCTCTTCGCCTCCCTTCCTTTTTTCCTCCCCTTTCCCATTTCCAAGTTCCATTCCTTTCTGTCCCCTTCCTCGTTCTTTGTCTGTGTGTACATGTTTTGATTTTCTACCGATGAATCCCTCAACCCTTTAAGTCCCTCTGTGTTTTCATGCCAGACTGACTCATTCAGGACCTGGGACTTTTACACCTGGTGCCTCTGCTCTGGTTGTCACAGTCACCCTGTAGGGAAGGTGGCCTCATTCCTGGATTGCACATGGCACACAGAGGCTCTGAGAAGTTGAGTAACTTGCTCTAGGCCACACAACCAGTGATGGTGGGTGTCCAGCCTAGTTGGCACTCCCAATTCTTTGGGGAGTGGGGTAGAAGATGTTGAGGTGTACCAGAAAGAGCAAATTGTGCCTGTGCCCTGCTTCAACAGGCTATATGTGGATATGTGTATTAATTCACCCAGCAGCCTGTGCCCTTCTCCATGGGGCTATACAGAGTCCTTTCCTCTGCTTCTGTGGCCTTCCTTGATAACTACTTAGATATAGCAAAGCAGATGAGTGAGGCTGTACTGCGCAGTCCACTTTCCCAGAGCCTTGCTAAATACAGATTCAACCTGAGCTCATCTGGAGTGAGATTCAGCACTGGTGAGCTCCCAGGCCTGTGTTCCTGGTCCTCAGAACACTATTTGAGAAGCAAGGCTCTGTAGCCCCATTCCTCCAAGTCTATTTTGCAGAGCTGTACAGAGAGAGAGAGAGAGAGAGAGAGAGAGAGAGAGAGAGAGAGAGAGAGAGAGAGGCTTCAGGATCTCTGTTTTCTACAGTGAAGAAATCTTGCTAGTTCCTTGTCATGCAACATGTCTCTTGAAGATCCAGCCGTGGATCTCATGTTCTTTGCAGGATCTGTGCAACTAGCCCCTAGTTGCCCAGCATGTGTGTGCAGAAAGCGTGGAGCAGACAGAAAGTGTGGGTGACAGCAGGTAGTGCGGCCCCACGTCTTACATTTAGATGCTCAGGTGGGCCTTGTCTCCCCCAAAGGCCCTTTGGGGACTGTTGTCCTGTCCCTGTCCTGGACACAAATGTGCATATCTGTTTGCCTGCTTCTGAGAACATATGAGTGTATTTCTGCTTTAAAGGGAGGAAGGCAGGCAGTGACTTTGATTACTGTAGACAGCAGTCTCCTAATCTGTTTAGTATAGGGGACTCTAATCTAATCCTACCATTGTATCTATCAATCAGGGCTCTTTCAGTTACAAGCACCAGAAAATCCAAGTCAAGCTAGTTTAAATAGAAAGGGAACTTACTAGCAAATGTGGCACTTGGTCTGCAGGCATGGCTGGATCCAGGTTCTTCCACTAGCTCTTTAGGACCTCTGCAGCCTCTTCTCTTTATTTCCTGTGGGCTGGGTTTGTTCTCAGATGGAGCCCCTCTGTAGTGAATCAAGGGGCCCACGAGCACTGAGCTATCTTCAAGGCTGAGCATCTCCCCTTGTCTCCATTCCGCAGATGAGCAAACTGAGCCTCCAAAAGCCCAGAGAGCCTGCCTGTTGCAACCTTGGCAGTTGGTATCAGAACATGGGTCTGTTTGGTTGCAGCCATCCTCACTCATTTTATTGCCCCCTGAGTTCTTATTTGCAGACCACCACCACCAATAACAATAATAATACTCTGCATTTCTGGAAACATTCCTTTTTAAAAAATTTTATTTATTATTTTTATTTTTACTTTATATGCATGTGTATATTGTCTGCATGTAGGTAAGTGCACCCGTGTGGTGCAATGCCCAAGGAGGACAGAAGAGGCTGTCAGATCCCCTGGAACTGGAATTACAGACAGTTGTTAGCTGCCATGTGGGTGCTGGGATTTGAATCTGGGTCTTCTGCAAGAACAGCCAGTGTTCTTAACTGCTGAGCCATCTCTCTGGCCCTGAAACATTTCTTTTAAAATATTTTGTTTTTATTTTATGTGTATAAGTGTTTTGCTTGCATGTATGTAAGTGCACCCATATCAGGCAATGCCTGTTGAGACCAGAAAAGGGTGTCAGATCCCCTGGAACTAGAGTTAAGGGTGGTTGTTAGCCACCATGTGGGTGCTGAGAACCAAACCTGGATCCTCTGCAAGAACAGCAGTGCTCTTAACTGCTGAGCCACCTCTTCAGCCCCTTTGAAACATTTCTTATCTTTCTTATTTCATTTCCCACAGACCCTTTGAGTCAGTAGCATTGACTGTTGTTTATATGAGTGAGATGGAGAAGGCTGAGTAATGGGCTGACTGTCCAGGGACGCACTCTGAGCTGCGGCTCCTTGTGGGTGTTTGTCCTGACTCCTCACTGGCGAGTGATCCCAGTAGAGACTCCAGGATAGAAATTACCCGCCCCCCTTCAGCCTTTCCTTCCACTCAGGCAGCCCTGGGGACTTCCCTGGCCTGGTGTGTCTGACTGGGAAGGACTAGGGATAGCAGCCTGCTGGTTGGGCAGTGGGGAGGCTCCAACCTCTAAGGCCTGGTCCAGTCCTGGGGCTTGAGAGAGGAGATGTCAGTCCTTCCCTGGGAATTCATCACAAGAGCCTTTGTAATAGAGCCAAGGTCTTGTGGCAAGAAGTGAGTCCATGATATGGGGACTTGGCCATCTTTTCCTAGGGTTCCTTGCTGAGATGTCATCCTGATCAGCCCACAAGGAACACTAAACACTATAAAGACAAGTAATGTTGCCCTAAGGGACTAAGATGAAAGCAAGCTCCTGCCTTTGAGGTCCCATGCTGGGTCCAGCCAGCTCAGCTGCTAGTGGGGCAGTCCCTTGCACTGTGGGCTGCAGACAAGGATGCCTGGGATTTGTGGGTACTCCTCTTAAGGGGATCCTCTTTCCTTCTGCCTTGCCTTGGAGACCAATGAGCAGGTTGTAGGAGCACTAAAGAGGTTCCATAAGTGTTTGGGGTCCCCAGGTCAGAGCACAGACACCTGCCTACTCCCTACCATGAATGATCTACCTAAGCACTTAAGGTGGCTTCTGCCTCTCCCTAAGCCCATTACCTCATTAAGTGACAGAAAAGCAGATGACATTGGGCAGAATGAACAAGAGCTATCATGAGTGTAGTTATCTGTTGGTTCTGAGGAATGTTGGTCTCAGGCTTGGTTGGATCCAGGGGCTCAGAGCATAGGTAGTCTCTCAGCACCTCCACTCAAAAATGTTCTCTTCCCCT